GGTTCGACGCTGCACGAGCAGGACGAGACTGACGAGAGGAGAGAGACCATGGCAGACTTGTTCAGGCTCTTTGGTGACAAAAGGCCGGACTATCGCTGGATCATCGCGGGTCCGAGGCGAAGCGGCAGCGGTGTGCGTGTAGGATGTGTCCGCTACATGCACTGTCGCGATGCCCCCTCAGCACCACGCTGACAACAAACTCCCTTCCTCCCTCACACAGTGGCACAAGGACCCCAACATGACCTCCGCCTGGAACGCCGTTATGCGAGGCTCGAAGCTCTGGTTGATGCTGCCGCCGGACACATGTCCGCCCGGCGTGTACGTCTCACCGGACGAGGCCGAGGTGACCGCGCCGCTGTCCAACGCCGAGTGGCTGCTCGGCTTTTACGACGAGGCCAAGCGTAAGCACGGCCCACACAGCATTGGCGGCGACGGAAAGCTCCTCGAGGGTGTCTGTGTCGAGGGCGAGACGATGTATGTGCCCAGCGGCTGGTGGCACTTCGTCATTAACCTCCAAGGTGTGTCCCCATGGCGACGGAGCAGCGGACCCGCTTGCTTGCTTCCTCGCTTCAGGCCACCTCTCTGACATCCGCTGTGCCTCTCCCCTCTCCCTTCCGCAGAATGTGTAGCGCTCACGCAAAATTTCGTCAGCATATGCGAGCTGCCCAACGTCCTCCGCTTCCTTAGAGACAAACCCGATCAGATCTCTGGCTTCAAAGGTTGCGACGAAGATGACGACCAGGACGACGCGGAGGAGTGTTCGGGTGGGGTCGGACACAAAGCGGCATCGTCGCCCACCGCGCGCCTCTACGACGAGTTTTGCAACCAGCTGCGCAAGTTCGATGCGTGCATCCTGCAGCACGCTCTGCAGTATATCGCGCCCGCCGAGCACACCGCCACCTACGGCCCCTCCTCCGCTCCTGAGCCGTTTGCCAGGAAAGCGGCAGGCGCAAGCACACGCGGCAAGGCCACGACAGCCTCAACGGGCCAGGGCCTCCCGCTGTCCTTTGCACTAGGCGCGCAGCTCGACGAGAGCGAGCTGGGCGACGTACCCTGGTGAGCGAGCATCTCGTTCGTAAATTGGTTCGTTCTCTCGTCCATTGCAATACAATCTCTCAATTGCAGTGATGTTCTAGTGGAGCTGCCAGACCCATGTGCGCGTACCGAATCGGAAAGTGAAGATGGTTGTGGTTGTGGTAGTAGTGTTGATGCGCATATGATGCCGCGGACGTGAAATCCAACAGCATTTCCTTACCCAACGGTGTCATGCCTGCTGGACTATCTAGTGCTTGCCAGACGAGACCCGTGCTGGTTAACTGGCACCCACCTCAGGTGCAGCATTGGCACCAGCTGAGTCTGAGTTGTGGCTGTCGCCTGACTTTAGATCCGCATTTCTGGACGAGCCGGATGAAATGTTGCGTGAAGTCGCTGGCTTGCTGGATGTTGCTTTGCCGATGACTGGATGAAGTGCAAAGCATTGGTTGGAAGATCCAAAAGGAGGTCAGGGCGGTTTCGAAACCCTCAAGATACAAGCAAAGCTCAGTACTCACACCAACTTGGGACCCATCCTCGTGAATGGTCGTTCCCCTCCTTGACGCAGTACGACCAATGATTGTACCGCTTGAAGACACGCAATTTATCGTTGCGCTTCAGTACCAGGTCCCGGTCCGGTGCAGAAAAGTCCATGAGCATGACGCCAGGCGTGCTGGTGCTGATGATGATTGAAGGCGAAATGGGCACCTTGGATACGTCTGAGAAGCTGGGTTGTGGTAGACTGTCGCTACCAGCACTGCCGTTGCCGCTACCAGCAGAGCCAGGCGAAAGTGAGCGCCCACCACTTCCCCCACCGAGGGCGGCGTCGGGGGCGAGCGAGTCGTCGGTCGTGTTCTGTTGACTGGTCCGAGATGGGTATTGTGGCGTCGCAGGTGACCCAGTCGACGTTCCCGGGAGCAGGAGCGGTCGACTGACCTCGAGTAAACACCCGGCGGGGACCCAACCCGATTCCATGACCAATCCTCCGCCATTTGCTTCCGTCTCCGAGCGATCGATCGTGGCGGAGTCCGTCTCGTCGCCATCTCCGTCGCCGACCTTTGCTTGCGCGACATCTATATCACCCGTACCATCCGCTTTACTATCGCCCTGCACAATCCACCACCCTTTCGCTTTGCTCAGCACAATGTAAGTGTCGCCGACCGCGACGTCAAACTCGTCATCGCGCTCGGACGCATAGGGGTAGATGGCGATAGCGTACGTCCGCGTAGAAGCGTCTGCGATGCCATTCTTGGGTAGAGCACTGGCAGGGCCAACATACCTCGGCAAACTCTGTTGCCGCTGCATCACGCCGCCGCTCATGAGAGCAGGCGTGATGGAGCCAGGCACATTTAAAGACGTGTTTAGTGGCGGCAGTGATCTGCCTTTTGGCAGCTCCCCGCCTTCGCCGTTCGTACCTGTGGTGCCGGACGCCTCTGCATCCGCGGATGCCTGGAGCAGCTCCTCACGCTTCTTTGCGACACGACTCCATCCGCTTTGTAATCCACGCGCTTCGGCCTTAGCATTCGCAATCGCAATGGGGCTCTTGACATCCTTGATATTTCGCAACATGAACACTGGGTTCTGCTTTGACTCTTTCAGCTTTTGGAAGAGCAGCAGCGGCTTTTCGTCGTAGCTCAAGCAGCGTTCTTGAAGCGAGTATTTCAAACGTCAACCTGCCAAGTCACCCTGAAGGCTGGACCTGCTGCTATGAGGCACTTACCAGTGTTGCCATAGCAAATGAACAGAGCGTACTGCTTCCAGTCATCGTTGATCTTGTACTTCTTGAGCGCGGCAGGGAGCACCTTGTGACACGGATCGTCGAGGGTGACGCGGAAGCTTTTGTAGGGGTTGTCAGTAGAGGACGGTTTGTCCTTGCTTGTAGCTCCTGACGCAGGATTACTCGAGGTAGAGCTGTTCTCAGCAGCAGCAACAGCGGCGCTGGAGCTGGTACCAGACGTGGCCGAATCTGCGGTACTGGCGGTCGATTCAGTAGTCGTGCTAGCCGCCAGCGAAGGGGCAGAGGGCGGCGCCAACTTGTTCGTCGTATTCGAGCTGCTAAAGCCGGCCGAAGAGGACTGGTGCGTGGCGCTGGTAGGCGTAGCAGCGAGACTGGTGTTCGCGTTGCTCTGATGACTCTGACTTTGCGTCGACGTGCTTACAGTGGGGGAGTCGAGTGTCGGTTCGTCGGTAGAGCGGGCATGCCCCTTCCCGTAAGAGCTGGGTCTGGCATTTGCTGCTGCGGCCTCTCCCTGAGCAGCGCCACGCTCGGGCGGATCTGCGAGGACGTCCGGGTAGGTTCCAGAAGCAGACACGAAGGAGCTTCCTTCAGCTTCCGTCTCCTGCTGCTGCTGCTGTTGCTGCATTTGCAGAGCCCCCATCTCGACTTCTCCCCCTTGCTGCTGCTGTTGGAAACTCGGCGGCTGACCCGTCCCACCAACCCCGCGAGTCACAGCACCACCGAGGCGCGCGCTGACGGGGGTTCGCTCCGTCGGACTGTCGAGGTCGCCGGCGCGCGCATGGCCGCCAACTGCTACACTTGCGTACTGCAAGCCCTCATTCACATCTGCATGTGCGCCGACGGGATGCTGCTGGTGCTGATGACGGTGCGTAGGAGCGCCTTCTGCCGCACCGGCGCCAGTGCCGTTAATGCTACCACCTGTCGCTGCTGCTGCTGCCGTTCCTGCAATGGGAGAAGGCAGGCTGAAAGAGAGCTCCGCAGCGCCTTGAAGGTCGCTCGAGGATCCGGGGCCGCCACCCAAGCCTGTCGGCGTGAGCGCCTGTTGATCCGGAGAGAGCCGCTGTCCCTGCAGTGGGGCCAGCGAAGCAGCGCCTGCATTGGCGCTGGAAGACGCAGTAGTAGCAGCGCTGCCGCTGCCAAAAGCAGGCCCGGAGCCCGAGGTTGAGCCGGAGCCGCCGCTGTGCGTCGCCTCGGGCAAGCCGGACGGGTGTGACAGGACGGACGCGGCACTGTGCTCGCTCAGCTTGCGCAGCGGGACGAACGGCTGCAGCGGCGGCAGCTCGGCGGAGAGCGCGTTCTGAACATTGAGAATGCGGCAGATGCCAACAAAATCCTGCTGGACGCGGCAGAGGTACTCGCCGAGGCGGTTGACTTCGTGCTCGAGCATGTGAATGCGCTCGTCCTTCTCGCGCAGAATTCCGGCAATGTGCCAAGGTGATGGAATCGCGTTGAAGAGCCCGCTGGCACTCAGACTACCCCCACCTCCGCCGCCGATCCCTCCAGCGCTCAAGTTGAGGCTGAGACCACCAGCACCGCTGCCGCTGCCGCCTCGAATACTGCTAGGGCCGGTTCCTCCTGCACCAGTGCTGCTGCCGCCACCGATACTGCCAGCACTGATGCTGCCAGGGTCAGGCCCAGCACCCCCAGTTCCGGCTCCGGCCCCGGCCCCGGTCGCATAACCATAAAGCGAAGGCGCAGCGGACACACCCGACAGTGAGAGCGGGACGGACGCAGAGGATGTGGTCGAGTCGCGTATACTGTTGCTCGCCGCACTGGCCGTTACGCCAATGTACGTCGTGTTGGCGGCCGCGGCGGCGCCGAGTGCGACAGCGCCGATGACGACGCTGTTGCGCGCCACTTCCTCCGAGAGGGGGATGTAATCGCCCTCGAGGATCGGCAGGCCGTAGAATTCCTTGAGCTTGAAAATCCCATTGAGAATGTGTAGGCGCTGGCCGACGGAGAGGATGCCCATGTCCTTGAGGGCGTTGTCGTCAAGTAGATGTAATACCTCGCCATTGATCCCATTCTCTGTGGAATGCGTGGGTCAGGAAGGAACAGTAGAAGGAGAGTGCATTCAACATGTAAATTGCCGTCAGCCAAAGAAGACATAAGACGCGTTTAGCATTTCACTACCACTACGTACCTTCAAACTTATCCGCATATTGTCCGCAATTGACACTGACGAGCCACGCGCGAACATCTTCCAACTCCCATCTGGTTAGGTGTGGCCGTTTGGGGCTGATGGGCGGCGTGTTTAGCGATGAGGAGCCGTAGACTGCGCCGTGATTCAGTCCACCGCCACTAGCAGCAGTAGGACCCGAGACGATGGCCCCAGTTCCGGGACCAGATCCCGCTGATGAGGACGTTGTCGGATTGGCAGCGCTGGAATGCGAGCCATGGCTTGCACCTGTGCCAGGATCTAGGCCTGAACTTGAGCCTGAACCCGGGCCATGGCCTAGACTGGCAGAACGGTCTCCGGGCCCGGCCGTGCCGTCGCTGACAGTGCTGTTGGAATGGTGCGTGGCGGCGTCACTGCTGCCGGTGAGCTGCCCGCTGCTGTCGCCATCCCTACTTGCAAAGCCATTCGCATGCCCATGCCCGTTCCCATCATGTTGTCTGTGTCCGTGCGTGTCCACATAGCTGTGCTCCTCGCTGCTACCATGCCGGCCGGCAGCATATCCCGAGGTCGACTCGCCGGATGATGACATGAGGCCGAGGGTAATGGGCGAGTTGGAGTGCGCGTCATGCAGGTATGCACTGTACGGTGGTGCCGCGACGGGTGTGATCGGTGTGGTGGACATGTTGGCGCTTTAGCACTGCTGCTGCTGGGACCCCGAGTAATCTGTCTATTACACTTGATGGTCGCGGGGACAGTGCTTGCTGTTGATCATGGCGGTGGGAAGAGAGGTGTATTGAGCCTGTCCGATGCAAGTTCGAGAGCGAGTGCACAGGAGTCGACTGTGTAATCAGCACAGGTGCCTAGGCGGCTGCCTTGTCGACATTGGCGAGCAGACCGGAAGAGGAAGTTGTAGCACCGCTGGTCATGTGCCGAGTCGGTCTCGCCCCGATGTCGCTAGGAATGGATTCGCTACACTTGTGTACCAGATTTCTGCGGGTGTGTGCTGGGCTGTTAGCTGCACAGTCCTGTCCGATGAGGGGCCAAGAAGCAGCAAAGCGACAAGAAGAAGAGCGTCCAACAGCAAACTGGCTTCCCACGATGAGTTCGACCTCGTGGGTTGGGCGCGTAACTCTACTGGGTGCAATGATTCCTAGCACCTTGCCCCTGATCGAGTTCGCTCCCGTGCGCTTGCGCTGGCTGGCCAGCGGGCAGGATCTGACGAACTGACTGGCTATGGACACACTGTAACACCTGCTCGAGGTCGTGGTGCACAGAATTAGGCGCTTAGGTATGCGACTGTGTAATGCTCTCCCACTCGAATGCTATGTTGTGCTCCAGACGTCACCTCGTCGTAGTTGGAAGATGCTTGCTGTTGCTGTTCAGTTCAATCAACTTGTGAGCACACAAACACAGACACATCAGGCGAGTCAAAGTCGAGTGTCCACATGTGCATACCCGCGCCACCCATAACTCTCTGGAGTCGGAACGGCTGAGGGCGAGGTGCCAGAATCAGAATGCATGTGACAGTCGGTGCAGAAGCAACACGCTGAGAGCGTCTCATCGACAGTGCAACCCAATCGCCACGCTCCGCCGCGCTTACTGGCTACCGTGTGGTTGCGCCGCCGCATTGCAAGTCAAGGCTCGAGAGCTCTCCGCTCTCCGGGATGATGAGTGGTGCCGTGCTCAAAAACTCACACCAGGCCAACACTCACCATTATATATATATATATGGACTGATCACCATCGTCCAGGCGGCTTTGGACATCCATTCTTCACAAGCTCATGGTCCATGAGAGTCGCCCATGGCCCGCGTCTTCTCCATCTACTCGAATATCGCTTTCTGGCGGTGACAGCGACTGGACCTGGCCTGCAAGCTTGCGCGCTGTCAAATCAAACGCCGGTCCCCACACCTCGGCGACAGCGAGATTCAGATGGAGAGCAAGTTTGGAGCGCCGAACCTTCGAGACCCCCGGGTCCATTTTGATTTTGATTCATCTAGAGAGCCTCTTTGCTCCCACTGAATTACCGGCCCAGCTACCCTCGAGGGTAGAAAGCAAAGAACGGCTCCGTTTGCGCTCACTGTTCAGCAATATTCCAGGCTAGAAGGCGAACCCATCGGCGATTCATCGGAGTGTGTTTCTGCAGTTGCAGCAATGTGTTGAGGACGCGGGGTTCTCGATGTGTTCAATTGTAGAAGAGGAGCAGAAAAACGAGTCAGGGTGACTCAGGTGAGTGGTTCTTTCAAGACTGGCGGGAATGTATGCATTTAGAGCATTGCGATCAATGCCCGTCGACATCTCCTTGGCGGGCGACGAATCCTAAATATTGTCGGAGTGCTGATCGATCCTTTGTTCATACCTTTCTTGGCTCTTTGATCGCAAACATCCAGCCTTGGGGTCTGCATCAATCATCTCAAGATGCAATCCTTCGATGCGCAACCCTGTTTGGGGCTCCTGGCAACCGTGCCGGTGCCGGCAGGCTCTTCGTTTACCTCCCCTCCTCCATCCTCTCTCCTCGTCGCTCCAGATGCTGCTGACGCTGCTGAGCGCACTAGGGATAACGGGTCACCTTCAACCTCGCCCTCAGCGTCAGGCTTAACAAGGGAGCAGGGCTCAATACGAAGGACCAACGCTGTCGCCGTGCTCAAACGCGCGGCGTCGCAGAGGGAGATGAGGGCGCATCATGGACCAGAGCAAACGCAGGGAAAAGGGAAGGAACAGGCCGTGGGACCGGGAGTAGACGCAGGGCCATGTGTCAGTGCTGGCGCAAACGCGAGCTCAAGTTTGGCGCAGGTGAGGCAGAGCGCCGGACAGAATGCTTCATGGCAGGGTGTTGAGGACGATGGTGACAATTACATCTCCCTCGATCAACCGCAGAATGAGTATAGCTACAATTTGAACAGCTCCTCCGCCTTTTCGCAAGCACCATCCATGAACGTCTCCACTACCGCTTATACAGCATCCGAGATGCCCCCCATGTTAAGCAGAGCTAATCCATCACAACAACAGCAGCTGGCAGCGGCACTCAAGCTACAGATGCAAGTACAACAGTACATCCATACCCAGCAGCAAATCCAGCAGCTACAAGCTTCGTTGCTTGCGCAGGGAATTCCGCAGCATGTCGTCGCAGGCACCATTGTCAATGCAGGCGTCGGTGCCGGCTCAGGTGTGGCCGAGAATGGGGAGCGTGCGGAGCATGGGCAGGACTACGAGGATGCGGAAGAAGAAGAGGACGAGGACAAGACGGAAGAAGAGGAGGAGAATGAAGAAGAGAACGATCATGATGAAGGGCAAGATGCCGAGCAAGCTGGATACACGCACGAACCACCGAGTGCCTCAAACCAATTCGCCAGCTTCCCGTTCTTTTCAGGCCAGCCAGTCAGCGGCCTCAACTCTGCCTTCGCACCAAGTTTCCTGTCGCCCATGCCGCCTGCTGGGATGCTCTCTCCGACCAGCGTCGGCATCGGGTTTTCGCAGCACGGCGTGGGCGTTGGGTTCGGTGACTTGATGAGCAGCCACCAACCTCTTCCCAGTCCAGGTATGCCTTCGCCGCTTGGCTTGTCAGCGCTGCAGCAGCCCCACAGCCTGCGTCCTCCAGCCTCCATGTCTCCATCTGTCCACGCAATGTCTGCATCCTTGTCCGGCTCGAGCAGCACAGCGGGCTCGAGTAGCGCGCATGCGACTCCGTCCACCTGTCGCGACGGCCCTGGCAATGCATCCGCAAGCGGCGGCGCATCGTCAGCAGCGTCAGCACCAGCACCAGCGGCAGCGCGGCACCAGCCGTCGCCGCTTCCGTCCCTCGAGCAGCTGCGCTCGCGCATCTTGCACGAGCGCCACACGCAGACGCTGCGGCGCTCAGCCTCGACGTCCGCCGCTGCGCACGCCGTCGCGCGCGCGCATGCGCTCGAGAAGCTCATGGGCGTGGGGAGTGGTTACTCGCAGCGACGAGCACTCAGTCCGACCGACGAGCTGGAGAATCGCCGGAACCGCGTGCGCAGGCGGACAATGCTCGGCCAGGAGAGCGATGGTGACAGCTGCCAAGAGAACGCGGAAACAAGTGCCGAGGGTGATTCTTCCGGTGATTGGCGGAGAGCATCCCTGAAGTCGGGACAGGGGACTCCAAGCGTTAGCTCCGTCGACAAGCGCACGACGTTCCGCTCGTCCACCTCCTCCCGCAAGCGCCACACTTTCTCCTCGCACCGAAAGTCATCCATTCCGGCACCGCGAAGAAAATCAACGTTGGACGACTCGCCGCCCTCGCTTTCACCGGTGACGCGCGCGTTCTTCCTCCCGCCTCTGGCGGGCCGCCGCTGCGGCGGCGAAGACGAGCCGCAGCACGGCGAGATCGATGTGTACGACTTCCGCCCGCGTGAGTCGCAATATGGGCTTTCCGCAGAGTCGGACAGCTCGGACGATCTCGAAGATGAGGATGAAAAGGGCGACGAGATACGGCGCGAGAAGCGCGCGTCGCGAATGCCGCTGCGGCTGAACAAGCTGAAGCTGCAGATCCAAACGGAAAGGCCGTCATTTGGCCTTTCTGGCGACAACGCGCGACCGCTACCCTCGCCGCCTTCTGCCACAAGCGCTTTCGGTGGCATTGCGCTGAGAAGTGCATTCTCTTCGGACGGGACTGGCGCAAGTGGCGGCGAGCGTGAGAGCTTGGCAGGTCCCATGACGCCAGTGGCTGCCGGTGGCAGCGGCCTGCGGAACTTGCCGAGCAGCCCGCAGAGCTCGGCGAGCAAGGCCGTCCGGCCTTTGTTGCGCAGGAGCAAGACGATCGGAGGGTTGTCCGCCATGGCGGAGCAGCGGCGGAAGATGGCGTTCGTGAATGACCTCATGAAGTTGCAAGGGGAAGAAGAGCTAGCAGCAGGACGGCTCGAAGTAGAAGACTCCATCCGTCGGAACGCTAATGGGGCCACGGACCGTAGTCGTCAAGAGGCACAATGGGCTGCGTCGGGGGCATTTACGAACGATGAGACTGAGCGACAGCACCACGCGCATACTCCTTCAACATCTTCAGCTGCCGACAACTTCACGCTCATCACTGTGCGCAGCCGAGCGGGCAGCCAGAGAGAAGTGGCTCGTGCTCAGCTGCTGCGCAAATTGAGCGGGAGACGATTGCCAAAGCAGGGCGTGGAGACTGAATCTCTACGGCAGCAGGAAGAGACGAGGGAGATTGCTATCACTCGTATGGACCCTGCCAGAGCGTCACCGCCGCTGCCGCCGGCGGAAGCGCATGCCGCCAAATTTGGGTCGTCGGGGACCTCCACAACGGCCTCGTCCCGAGCGCGTCCTGCCCACCTCGAACTCCTTTCTTCGAACCCGAGAGGCGCCGCCTCAACCCTCCTCACTCCTTCGTCTGCGCGGACAGGACGCGTCAATCGTTCCGGCAGCATTTCTTCCGTGGGCACCTCATCTGAAGCGCCGACCACCGCCCGACTGAGTCCCGGTTTTGTGGCTGCGCGCAATCGCGCGAGCGCCATCGCCCGTTTCACCGGCGAGGACAATTTCATGTTTGAGTCGACATCTGATCGGGAATATGACTACGAAGAATCCTCCGAGGCTGGCGATGTAGGACGCAGGGTGCCAATCCAGGACATGCGAAGACTAAGCAGACGGAACGAACGCAAGGCAAGCTCAGACTGGTATGGCGAAAGCACCGAGGAGGACGGGGACGAGGACTACAATGAAGTGGGTCATGATGATTTCGTGCAAATGCACTCCGAGCTGCAAGAGGAAGAAGAGGGCAAACGGACGAAAGAGATTGCTGCGGATATAGGGACGGCCAAGACGGCCACGTCGCCTTCCATCAATACCGATCACACATTCAGCTCCAGGCCATCTACCTCAGGTGCCAGCTCTAATCGAGTACTATCGATGGAATCTGTTACGAATGCCCAGATCATGACGGCAATGCCAGCCATTTTCCAGCGGCTACACGAGACCGGCTTTGGCTATCCAGAATATCCTAACTCGGTAAGCGTGCCGCTCGGCCTCCACGTCTCTGGTTCGCCATCTTCGATTACCAAGCCGGGTCGCGGCGATTGGCCAATGTCAATGTCGTCCTGTGCGGGAAGGAGTTCCATGGCAGACGAGCTTGCGTCGTCCAAAGACATGATGGACTCGGTGGACCAGCAGCCGATGCCAAGTGAGTATTCTGTGTTGTGCACGTCCGTGTTGAGACAATGTCTAACTTGCTTCGTGGGATTGCAGACTTTAACGTCCCCGCAGCTTCAAGTGGAACGTTCAGCGAGGCTGTTAATCACTGGTCTTATTTGTCGAATACACATCCCTCTTATCAAATCTCATTGGCGAACGGGGCGCTGCATGCTCAAGAAGATGCCGCCGAGCCCACTCATGTCGATGGCGAGAATCTAACCCAGGTTGACCGGGTTGAGGACACGCTCAAGACATTCACCGAGGCAAGTGCTGCAAGCCGACAATCAGGCTCCAGCTCCGGGTCTAGCGCTTTGCCTCCTCGACCAATCTCCAAAGACAGCTTCATGACACAGACGAAGGCTAGCAACGAGTTGAGGCAGCCTGCCACCATTCCGCCGCGGACGACGTCGAACACCAACAGCGGTCTTTCGCCCATAAAAGAGAAGTTGGCGCTCGAGCCTCCAAGCTCCGTTTCAGCACAGGGTCGGCGAGTGGGTCACTATTCTCCAACAGATGAGCGCAGCGCCCTCAACGAAAAGTTGACCCCATTTCCGGGTCTGATCGTTGGGGGTGCAACTATCGTTGGTAACGGGGCCCGACCCATGACGCGAGCACCAACACCACCCTCGCACAGCTTGCAAATGGCAACCGAGGAGCGGTCTGCTGTCATATCTGCCTCGCCAGAGAAGCCGAAGAAGTCGCTCTTTGGCTCTATCAGGCGCAAGAACCCTCCAGCTTTGTACCAGCCAGACGAATCATTCAGCACGACAGACTCGTCCGTGGATGCAACAGGGAAGATTATCCCAACCGGTTCAATAGATGGTGTGTTGTCACCAAAGATGTCCCCCTTCGCTGAAGAGAACAGAGAGCCAGTGCACACTCCCTCCCCCGCAACCATGAAGGCAGTCATCGGTCACCGTCGACTCACATCTGTAGACTCGAATGCCTCGGAGGACGGGGGCTCCCCAGCTCCTCTTGACGGCGGCTTCGCAGATCTCGTCCATGCAAGGGTAGAGCATGCAGAAGCACTTGCTCCAGACACTTTTGCGATGCTGCATCGCTACAGTCACGTCCTTACACAACAAGCTTCGGGTGTTCCTGGGGTCTCGGCAGCAGCGATGGAATCGCCGCCACGGTCCCTCCAGCGTGCTGTGCCTGTTTTTCAGGTCGTAACGACGAGTGGTATCAAGGATCGCTTCCTCTTCCTCTTTGATGATATTCTTTTGATTGCCAAGCCCATCGCCGCCCCGCCGAAATCGACCGATGACGCCGAAGTATCACCTCTGAAGGCCCTTGGTATGGCCGACCTTAGCTGGACCTTTTCGACTAAGGCGATTCTGGAGCTGCGACGAATCAAGCTGTCCATCCCTCGCGATCACGTGGACCAGGCGAAGCCGCATCCGTTGATGAAGTCGCTCATGTCGCGGTTCACGAATGATCCGGAAGGCGCAATATCCGACGTGATCACACGTAGTGGTCTGCCAAAGACAAGTTCGACAATTGCACAGCTTCTCTTGCAAACACCAGACCTCGACAAGGATTCCCTTGCTGCATACCTCTGCCATCCAAAGAATCGTGCAGTGATGCAAGCGTATTTGGCCAACCATCGTTTCGCCGGTGTCTCCATCGAGTCGGCACTGCGTGCGCTATGTCTTGGAATACGCTTCCCCAAGGATCCCGGCGCTTTCCACGAGCTCCTTGAGGCTTTTGCGAAAAGGTGGACTGAGACGAATGCATCGCTTATCAAAGCCGAGTTCACCTATGAGCTCGCTATTCGACTCGTCTTTGCTATGGTCACGCTCAATGATGCCCTGCATCAAGGCAATCCAGCCGTAGACGTGCCAGGCTGTTTCAGCGACTTGAACACAAGTTTCAGCCGAGAAGACTTTGTGTCAGACTTCCGCAGGCATGATCCGGCAAGCGTGCTTTCTGATCAGACGCTGCTCCGCATCTATGCCAGCATCCGGGCGGAGCCATTAGCGCAAGCCTTAGCCTCTAAAGAAGGGCAACCTTTGCCGGTGATGCTATCTGCACCGATGCCAAGCAAGCTGACATTCGGTCAGACATCGCAGCCCATCACGGTAACCATTCCGCATCCCGATCGGGACTTGGCGATCAGGATCTACGGGCAGGATATAACGTTCGATCCGCCGATCCTCACGTTCAGCCACAGCAACTCGCGGTCATTTACAATGACGAGCAAGGTACTAGGCACGCGGCACATTGTATTCATCCGCGCCGGTCGGAACTCGCGCTACTATGCAGGCACCTACAGCGACAGTGCCACTCAAGCCACGCCATTGCCAAGGAGTAGCGTCATTGCGATCGAGCGAGCGTTTATGCAACACACGTTCATCGTGTCCACGTCTTCCTCTATCTCTACCGGCACCAAGCGGTACATGTTTAGCGTGGAAGACAATGGAAAGCGCTCATTTATCACGGACGCGCTGACGCAACGTATCGAGGCGGCGAAGCGTGCGACGAACAGTCCGACTTTCAGCCCGGCTCGAAGAGCGACGGAGGCGATCGCCATGCAAGCGCTGCGCGATGCGTTAGTCGATGCGGACCCGACAAGCGACCTGAATACGTCCTTGCAGCGAAGTGCGAGTGCGGGTGCAGCTCAATCGCTGGCGGCACGCAAATCACCCACTGCTTCTGCAGCTGCGCTCGCACGCGCCACGTCTTCCTCCGCCGCGCCGCCTCCCGGAGGCTTCGGCGGCGGCTTGCGCGTAGCGACTCTCAAGAACGCCTTTGGCGGATTTGGCCTTGTTGTGCCATCGCAGAAACAAGGGTTGGACCGCCAGACTTCGACCAGCAAACATTACTATGCGCCTGGTGGAGCTGGCAGCATGGAGCGTGAGCTGCTGCCGGACAGCATTTGTGAAGAAGAGGAGAGTGCTGGCCAGGGCCAGTACAGACAACAACACCCGCAGCACCTGCAGCAAATGCAAGCGCATCCACAGCATGGCGCCGGAAGCCTGGCTGTTCCGGGCTCCGCGGAGCCAAGCAAGGTTAAGACTGGTCACGAGATCGTCACTATCTGCCAGCAAAATTCCCTTCTGCCGCTCGTATTGGGATATTTCAAAAAAACTTGAACTCGCATTCGTCACGCACACCCGCCAAGATACACACTACTACATTATCACTGCTGGCTCATCAAGCTTTCTCAAGACATTCGTAGCATAGGCTAAGACTCATCCATTACGTTTGCTTTCTTCGTTCCAGGCCCAATGCTGGCCACCTCGCGCAGGAAGCAGGTCCATCCTCGGGGGCATCCAGGTGAAAGGGAAGGAATTGAGCCAGCGAGTACTTTTGCATGTCGCGCTGCTCGGGCGCGATCACCGGCAATAGAACCATTAGTCTCTTTCACAATAGCGAGGGGAAGGGGAAGGTCCCGATTCGGCATGTGTGCAGCCCTTTACCTTTGAAAAGGAGAGGAATTTGAGCATCCGGTACGGATGCAAGACAAAGGGGACATATCGTCTTCCTTTCTTCTTGCGGCCTCTCACCTGCCCTGAGTGGCGCCTTTGGCAAGGTCCCCATCAATGAGGTTGGTACCTTTCCCTTTCTTGGCGGCCTCCTGTCTGGCGAGCTGCATCTGCTTCTTCTTGGCGATAGTGTTGATCCAGGTGGAGAGGATGAAGCGGATGAATGTGAAGAAAGGCTCCCAGACCTCTGACGGGAGGAAATTCTGAGCGATAGCAATGCTCACAGGGCTAGTAGCCCACGTGAGGCGCATGACGCGTATGAAGTTCGTCCTGACCGCAAGGACAACCTGATCCAGTCTGCGTGCGCCGTTGATATACGCCATGCTGCTGAGGTAGACAAGGTTGCCGATCATTGAGACGGTCAGATTGGCCGTGATGATCTGGATAACCTTGTCGCGCGTCGTCGTGCGCCCTGCAAAGGCGCGCTGAAGCGCGCCAGTCATGACGTGTCCGAGCGGCGCGGAGATGGCGAAGCCGTAGATGAACATCTTCAGCGCGCGCTCGTTGAGTCCGACCGACTCGAGGTGCGCGAGGAGCAGACGCAGCGGCTGTTGTTGCGCAATGCGTTTCTCGCTCACTTGGCCCGGTGGCAGTTTCTTGGTCGGTGGAGCAGCACCTGCCAAGCGACCGGCGAGTATCTGGAAAGAAGGAGAGGAAGTGACGTTCAGTCAGTCGATTACTCAAAACAGGCTCGAAGCTACTCGGGATCCTTTGCAGATCTAATCACCTCTGCCAGTCCAGATAGGACACCAGATGTTAGCATCCTGCATTGCACACGAGCAAGGAGAAAAGGCGGAAATTCGAGTTCAGTCAGTACTAATCCCACTTCGAGTCTGCACCTTGATGTTGCTCGTCTTTCCTCCACATGCCCGAGCTTGCCGCAAGCTCTACGTCTTCACTCCCCAGTTGGTTGGGCCCAGGCGTGGGCGGGTGCGGAAAACACCCCCAAAGCACGCAGGAAGCAACGCTCACTTTGTCCTGAGCGGATTTGCAGCGAGCGCCTGCAGGTATCCGCGCAGCAGCGGGTTAGCCATCAAGCCGGACCCGGCTGCAGTTGGCTTGACGACAGACATGACGTTAGGGTTGGATGATTCACACGAAGGTGTCCGGCGCCTCGGGATGCGTGGGCTGTGGTGGGTGGCTGCTGGATGTCTTAAGGGGGACGCTGTGAAAGAGCGAAGACGAGAAAGTAATCTCACCCACTGAATCTGGAGCGCACTTGACTTGTAGGAGAGGCTTAGACCTGTTGTCTCCCAAGACAGGATGGAAGGTTTAGCTGGGATGGACCTTGCAAGAGCCAAAAGCCGTCGGTTAGTATGCGGGCCGGGATGGTTGGAGACAGGTCAGCGGAGAGGAACGAGGAGGTGAAAGAGAGTCATCTAGTGCCTCATCCATGCATCACACCACACACCAGCTCGCGGAAGACGCGGGCACCAACAACCGCTGTCAACGGAGCAAAGGCCAACAATGAACCCTAAGCTCTCCAGCTCTGCCACTGCTCAACCTGTGCACACCTTCTCGCTCGCTGGCACCAGTGAATGATGCTCCAAGCACGACTTCATCGCCGCCAGACAAGGATACGCTGTCAATGAGAAACGAAGCTGGCGAGCGCCTAGACTCACTGCAGATTTCTCTGGCGGAGACAATTTATCGAGTATCAATGCATCGATGGTGAAAGCCCTCGCGATTTCATCACAGATAGCAGACCGTGTAAATCTATATACCCGCTTGTGTTTGGTCTTTGAGGGGATGCGGCTACAGACATGCGGAAACATTGTATGCATACTTGTCATACTGACGCTCCAAGACCCATCGCCGTTTCTACCTTTGTCTACAGTGAAGACTACAGCTAAGCCCGAGATTGACTGGGATGGTCATGTACACTTTCGAGGTCCAATTCGGCTCTCTGCCATGGACAACTATTATCAGTAAGTGAGCAGGGTCCAATCTACATTGGACATAGTTCAATGTGCATACCTAGGAGACTCGACTAGGAGAACAGCTGCAGTATGTATACAGTAGAGGGCACAAGACTCCTAAAGCCAGGTCGAGATGCAGAGCCAATTGATTCTTGCCCTCTTTGATATTTTATTTTAGCAGTAAGTGGTTCCACGACGAATGTTGGATCATCCTGATGCTTGTGCAGGATGGACCAAGACACAAAGCAGTCGATATATTAAATCCTACTAGAAAATCTAGCAATAGAGCTGTGATAGAGACTGGAGTAGCCGAGAGTGTGAAGAGGGTGGCTCGAGCGTGGCGCTCTGCTGACATTTGTTGCCACGACCACATGCGCATCTGCCTGCGAGAGCTTATATGCAGAGCCAGGCAACCGGCCTTCAGATCTCCAACCCAAGCAAGGCACTCTCACGACCAGAACAGCCCTCGTTGCTTATCCCATAGTCCATACGACCACAATGACTTGCGATTGGAAGCCTGGACCTGCGGCATTGTCAAAGGTCTGAAGCTATTATAGCTGCGTTTCTCATTAATCAATGCTTGAGTGTGTCGCACGTGAGCTGTTTGCTGGAGGCGAAGGAAGAAGACTGAGTGAGGCAGGCGATGCGTGTCGCGGGCGGGCTGGTGGGAGGCATGTGGCCTGTCTTGGCCCTTTTTTGGCCCAGCAAGCGCAAAAGAACATTAAATCTCGTCATCTTCGCCCGTCCAGCTGGCGATGCAAATGCTTTCGCCACGATGAAGCAGGCAAAGGAGATCATGATCACCAAAACATCGATAGAGAGTATATCCTCTCGGCTCTAGCGCACGAGTTGGGCTTGCCCAGGGCTGAATGAGAATGTACTTTGACGAGTCTGACGTCCCTCAAAATCTATATATACACCCGCGCGCCTACGCTGTCTCATTTTTGAGTGGAGAGTGTCGAGACACCCGATGTGAGAACACCGACTAAAGACAGCGACAGCAACCACCAGTCACCTAGCCATCCAAGTTGCTCTTATCCTTCATTCGAGACGGTATCCCGACTTCCACAGTCACGACAGCGACAGCAGCAGGAGGTACAGACAGCAGATGTCTAGACGGACCTCCAACCGCCATTGCTGATCTCTTTCTGACTGATAAGCGATACTTGACTCCTCTCGCGTTGCTGGGCTCTTCGCTGACATCTCGAAAACACAACGAAAACACACCTGCGCGCCACTCCGCTGGCTTCCCTTCGATCACGCTTCTAGCAACCGGGGTTCTACGAACAACATCGGGATTCGATTCGGTTTGTACTGGGCTGTGAGCGACGATCCCATTGGGAAAAAGTTCTGCACGAAGACACGCGTACTCGCTTCCAGGCCGTTGCCCGATTGTGCACGCTTTTGATCCCAGAGGTTGAAAGCACAGGTATTGGTAGCAAGGAGTGAGCAGTCGAGGGAAGTAATCGGCTTCCTGCGCTCTCCGTCCTGCGCTCTGCAGCTCAGTGGTGACGACGGAGAGGATCAGGATAGGGAACATTGACCGCAGATCAGCTCAAGTCACCCACGTCGCAGGTCCAACGCTGTAGCACCGAAGCAATTGTGTTCCGACACCAAAGGAAGACCCGGCGGAATTACAGCACATCGGAGAAGGGCAAGTCAGGCAAAAGGCGTGCAGCACAAGGCGTGTGCCTAATCCTATAAGATGGAGAAGGAAGGCGATAACTCGGGGGGTTGGCGATTCGCGCAGTGCTTCGGTGACAAAGGGGAGGTAGAGGACATCACAGAGGGTGAGTAGGTCGGCTTTCGGTCCCAAATGGTACACGCTGGGCACGCCACCTCGTCCAGCTAGGCTTGCTTTAAAAGTGTTGATTAGGGCAGAGCATGTTGTTAAGAGTTCTGGCCCAGTGACGCAAAGGGGATTTTCAGGGGAGGGCCAGTTCTTCCGGCTTGACTCCAGCTGATCCAATGCAGCATTGAGCCATCTGCCACGATTAATACCGAGCCTGGCCTCGGACCAGGTCGTATTCCTCTGTCTGACATGTTTTCTGACAATATATTCATTTTTTGATCGCCGCGGGCGCTTGCAGCGGACATCATCTCCACTGTCGAGTTCGATCACACTGGCGACTACTTGGCTACAGGAGATAAAGGTGGACGAGTGGTTTTGTTTGAACGAAACGAATCGGTGCGTGTTTGCAAAGGATGATGCGCTAGGAAGAGTTGCTAAAACCTTCGGCATCTACCCACCACCCTCGCATCCTCTTGTGCTGGACTTCTATTTCGGTTTCCGAATGGTTGCCGGTGGTGGAGCAGAAGAAAGGCTGCGAGTACAAATTCCACACGGAGTTCCAATCGCACGAGCCAGAATTCGACTACTTAAAGAGTTTAGAGATCGAGGAGAAGATCAACAAGATCAAATGGTGTAGACGACAAAATGCGGCACACTTTTTGCTCAGCACAAATGGTGAGTAGGGCTGGAACTGCGAGACAGGGTGTCATCGACCTGTGGCCTTACTGTACATCTTCGTCTCCCACTCGACGACAGACAAAACGATCAAGCTGTGGAAGGTATTTGAAAAGTCGCTACAGGTTGTTGCAGAGAACAATCTATCAGACGGCTTCCGCACGTCGCAGCAAGCGCATGCGGCGAATATCGGGGCGATACATCCATCGCTGATGGACATTCCACAGCCGGTGATAGGCAGCGGGACACATCTTCGCTTACCGCGGCTGACGCATCACGATACCATCATCGCTGCTGTACCACGAAAGATCTACGCCAACGCGCACGCCTACCACATCAACAGCATCAGTGTCAACTCGGATGGGGAGACGTACATCTCTGCGGATGACCTGCGGATCAACCTGTGGAACTTGAACATCAGCGATCAGAGCTTCAATATTGTCGATATCAAGCCCGTCAACATGGAAGAGCTCACGGAGGTCATCACCGCTGCCGAGTTCCACCCTGTCAACTGCAACAACTTCGTCTACTCGAGCTCAAAGGGAACGATCAAGCTTGCCGACATGCGAGACTCGGCTCTGTGCGACCAGCATGCGAAGCGTGAGTCCTTGCAATGCAATATATGTGGGTTGCGCTGGAAGCGAGACTAACAGAATATGTGCACTCCTCTCTCCTCCTTGTGCGCCTCAGAATTCGAGGAGGAGGAAGACTCGTCGAGCAAATCGTTTTTCAGCGAGATCATCAGCAGTATCTCCGACGTCAAGTTCAGCCGAGACGGGCGGTACATCCTCTCTCGCGACTATCTTACGTTGAAGATCTGGGACGTGAATATGGAGAGCAAGCCGGTCAAGACGATCCAAATCCACGAACACATCCGCTCCAAGCTGTGCGACCTGTACGAGAATGACTCGATCTTTGACAAGTTCGAGGCGCTGTGGGGGCCAGATAACAGCAAGGTGCTCACGGGCAGCTACAACAACTACTTCCACATCTTTGACAAGGACGCGGAAGAAGGGAGCAACGGCATCGTGCTGCAGGCGGACAAGAGCGCGTTCAAGGCGAAGAAACTGGCCGGCGCCAAAGGTAAAGGGTGGAAGAACCACGGCGCCGGAGCGGTCACCAACATCAACGTGGACAATGTCGACTTTAACAAGAAGATCCTGCATGCCAGTTTTCATCCACGGGAGAACACGATTGCGGTGAGTCTTCCCACATTGAATCGTCCCTCCTTCGATTTTGTGACTGAACAAATGGGGACTTTTCCTTCCCTGTAGATCGCGGCCACCAACAACCTGTTCATCTTCTCTGCGCTCAACTCTTCTTCCGGCGCGTCGAATCAAGCAACGGCATGATCAGATTTACTCATGTTCGTGCCCGACCAATCTTGTATCCGCCGGCCACATAGATTCAGACTGGCGCACACGTGTGCGCGCGTATGTGCTATATGGCACGACCACTAGCCGAAGCGCTGGGAGCAGAAGGCGCAGGAATCAGGGGCACATGGGATAGGCGCCCAGGACGGGTACGAACAGGCAGCAGCAGGCGATGAAACGCAGTTCCATGTAATATCAAATGGAGGCGAACGGAAAGAGAAGGCGTATGAAGACCAAAAAGGGACTTCAACTGTGTGACACCGTGAAAGAGAAGGAAAAGATGCTGGAGCCTCGAATGCGACGCGTGCTATTAGAGTACTATATATGTGCGACAATTTTGGGTCACGTTGCAGTCCGAGTTGCATGATGCCGCATGGCACGCGCATCTTTGATACTTGACGAGGTCACAATTATAGCAACTCTTTCGTTCCGTTTATGCATGGCTTGATCTACCGGGCACGAGTTGGCCGCGTCTGAGGGCGAGAGATGCGTGACGTTCCTTCAAAATGGCAGCGAATTCAGGGCCGGTAGGTTGGCCTTGTGTCAGACTCTCTGTCGCTCATGATCTCTAAGGACTAACGCAACTCATTGACGTGGCAGGCATTTGTCGCGCATTCAAGCGATGTCAGGCTCTTGTCAAACATTCTTAGGCCCATAGCACACAGCAGCGTGCGTCGGTTAAAACTCAAAATATGCCAGATCGCGATCGTAGCCAGCTAACCAACTAACTGAGCTCTCCGACTCACAACAGCATGTCCTCGTCACAATCTCGGACACTGGCATCGAGTTTCTCACGACGTCCGATCGCTCCTTCCAAGGTGACGCTCGCAGCTGAGCTCGCTTCAGAGGAATTTCTCGGCTGACTTTGCGCAATTGGACAGCTCATGCATACATCAAACGCATTCTTTTCCCCAAGTGGCAATGTCGCAAGGATCCGACGGCGGTAGATGAGTCTCCGATGAACACCACCTCCCCAGGTGATCAAGACGCCATCATATCGCATGTCTTCGAAATCAGCCTCAAAACTCTGCTCGAATGCCTTGATATCTTTGGAGGCGCCCCCGCTGCCAGAAACATTGCTGACACGGACTGGATGGACGGCCGTCCGGAGCGCGATCGGACTGGCGGCGGGGGCGACGTGCTACTTGACAAGCGCAAGGGCGCCAAAACGGCTATGATGCTCCGGTACACAGGCAAGGGAGACCCGCTTGTCGTGATGTGAGCTTTCGGCGTTGGCAAAGAATAAAAGCGGAATGTATGCTCATCTTCGCTTGTCGCGTACGTCGCTCGAAGGCTGGAGGATAATGATGTAGTGACGAGCTGCGAACTCGCAACGCTGGAACCGGATGACACGTCCGCACTAGGCATGGACCACCGTGACATGCGAGCGCAGATCATCATGCAAGCCGAGTGGATCACGGTCGTCCTGCAGAGCTTCCACGCGACCTGTTCGCGCATTATTTTCTCTTTTACCCCAAGTAAAGCCGGGCGGCGCGGTTTCCTGCGCATTTTTGGCGATACGGATGCCGGCAGCGTAGACGCCACGCTGCCAGGGGACGGCAAAGCGGTGGCCAAGTTCATCTGCGAGCGCAAGGTTGAGTTTACATACAGCTTCGAGCACGTCTCTCGCTCACTCAAAGGGCTCAGCTCGGCCAACAAGACGTCCGTACGCATCGACGGACAAGGCTTGCTCAGCATTCAGTGCCTCATTCCGATAAACTCGTCGCTCATGGAGGATGCCACGTGCGGTGGCCGAAACAAGATTGAAGCGAGCCATCTGCCCATTGTCGATTACCTTGTGGGCGCATTGCCATGCACGACCTTGCTGCGCAGGATGAAGACTGTAGGCTGACGCTCGTGCTCTGCCTTTCAGTGCTGTCCATACGAAGATTGAACGAAAGACATATCTGCAATTTTCAAAAGCATTATACTTCATTTCGTAGTTCTCGCAGATACGCATTGTCATTCTCAGCTGAACGACTTAAGCCCGGCATGGTTCTTCAATTGACAGTAGACGACGATATGCTTGTGTATGTACGCGTATACATGTAGAGTTCAGATGCGCAAGGTGTGCGTGGGAGGTAAGATCATAATCTACCTGTGGCCAGTACGGATGATGCCTGCTGCTACGAGCTTTTGGATCTTGGCCCTGATGCCGGGATTCTTCATGTGATCTTGCAGCGCCGCAGGCTGTCAAAAAGGAGCAAATTGAGAATTAGGCCAGTCCAAAATGCCCATACAGTCGTTCAAGCAACCAACGTGTACCGATGCTCCTCCCACAGAATTGCTTCAGGGCCGCTTCGTCGGTCTGTACTCTTCCTGCTCTACTCACATTGCTCTGTGCCTGCTGCAGAATGCTCTGCATGATCGGGTCGCTCATGATCTCCGCCACCTGCGGGTCCTTCATGGCGCGCTCGAGCGTCTGTTCGTCGGTCTCATTGGCGCGCTGAGCGTATATTTCGCGCATGACCTTATCCATCTGCGTTTGAATCTCTTTCTGGTTCTTGTTCGCAATTCCTTCGCCCTCGGCGCTCTCGTCGAGCTCCGACGCAAGCTGGATGGCCTCCATCGCCTTGGTGAACTCCTTCATCGCGGTCAGCACGGTGCTCTTGCGAATGTGCGCCTTGACGTTCTTCGGGTCGACCTTGATGGCCTCTTCGCAGTCCTTCAGCGCCTCCGGCAGCGCCGCGAGCTTGATATACGCGCTCGCGCGGTTCGTGTATCCGCGTGGGTCGTCCGGATTCCGTTTGATGCTCTCCGTGTACGCTGCGACGGAGCCTGCAAAGTCGCCGTGCTTGTATAGCTCGTTACCGCGGTTGCGCTCGTTGTCGGCCAGGGCAGGGTCGACGTACGCACGCTTCGCACGCTCCTTTTGCTCCTTTTCCGCGTCTCGAAGTTTGGCGAGAATGTCAGGCGTCCGGTGCTCTGTGAGACTCTTGTTCCAGAACTTGATGGCATTGTCTAGGTCGTCCTTCTTTGCATATGCCGAGCCGATTCGTCCGAACGCCTTCGCAACCAATTTGTAGTCTGTGCGCATCTCCCGACCCTCCTCGACGGCTTGTTCACAAGTCTTGATGCAAGCATCATAGTCTCCCTGCTCGAAGTGGCACGCTGCCAAATTGGTGAGGTATGTGATATCCTTGTGCAGCTCCCAGGCCTTTTGGTAGTGCGCAATCGCCAGAGCAAATTGCTTTTTGAGGTAAAGCGCGTTTCCAGCCTTCTTTTCTTCCTCGCCTGCTGCTTTTGCCTGTGCCTTGGCTTGCTCTTCCGGATCAGCATCGCTCATGTCGGCATCCGCGGTGGCCGCTGCTGATGCAGTTGGCGCTGACTCTGCTTTAGGTGGTCGAGAAAACGAAGTTGCAGAAGTCTTCCCTGACTGCGTTTCAATCTCCTCCCGCCTGTTTTCCAGATCCGGCGGCAAGTCATTGCTGCCCTCTGGCCGCTCGAAAGCCTGCATGTCGATGCCCATGAGCGCTCCCATGACCTGGATCATGCGCGGGTCTTGCAACGCCATGGCAGCCGCCTGTGGATTTTGTTGGATTTCCTGCAGCTTCTTTGCGAAAGCAGGATCCGCAAGCAGAGGTGCTGTCTTGGGGTTTGCAGAGAGCTTCGCAAACATCTTAGGATCAGCGAAGATTTTTCCCAGACCTTCGCCTGGACCTTCACCAAAGGACCTTTCCTCTGCGACGAGCAAAGATAGTTATTAGTAAAACATATATACATAAGGCGCGACTTTTTTCCTTCCTCGGCCTTACACAAAATTACGCACCTGCTGCACGCTTTACATCTGCTAGACCCTTCTGCAAAGATGCATCGTTTGGCGCGATTCTGAGTCCTTCCTCGTAAGCAGCAATCGCCTCATTAAACTTCCTGGCACCATGAAGCGCACCGCCCTTCCTTCCATATCCTTTCGCAAACTGCGGGTTGAGCTTGATGGTCTCTTCAGCATCCTCCAAAGCTTTGTCCCAGTCCTTCAAGCCGCTGTGACAAGCGCTGCGGTTCGAAAACAGCACGTGTGCATTGTCTTCTGATGAAACGGCGGCGGCGATGGCATCGGTGTAGTGGGAGATGGCTGTGGGGAAGTCCTTAGCCGCAAAGGCAGCGTTACCCTTGGCTTTTAAATCGGCGACAGACATATTGACAAGGTGTTCAGCGTCAAGGTCCTATTGTGTGCTGCGCAAACTTGTTGCGTGCCGGCCCAAGTCAGCTGGTATTCGACTTGGCAAAGATACTTTTTCGGCAGCGATAATGGTCTTCCAACAAGATATGGTGCTCGTTTTGTTGGGCGGCAGGCAATCGACTAGGGACCCGTGCGTTCTTGATCATATATGCATGAGCGGGCTTGTAAGACCACAGTGGAATGCGCTTCAATCTGTTCCTCAGGAAGAAGGCTCTGTATGGAAGTCAACGAGGAGCGATCGAAGCTCATGGAAAGTCGGGACGAGCGTGTGCGGAAGGTCCGAATTGCACCGATTCTGCAACCATCGACCACACTTGAGTGTTACAGCTCTCTCGCCATTATCGGCCATCGCACTTCGCACCAACCCTCTTCGGCTTGGGATATCGAATCGTTGATGACACGCTCGCGCTTCATCGAGAGCAAAAGCCAGTCTGGTGATACAATGTCGGCGGTGCGTATCTGCATGCTACATGAGTGATAAGGATCAGGATCGGTACCCATCCTGATATGTAACGGAGGACACTCGCCCCGGATCCTGCTTGCCAGAACCCTGATGGTCGTGCAGCGTTGCAGTACGGGGACCCAGCCTCGCCAATTTGCTACCGCTGTTTGTTATCTTCGCTGCTGTGGTTGTCGTCGCTGATAAGCTGAGATCCATGCTGATGGCGGACTTCAGATGTCCCCTTTCTTGTTCAGGCTCACCCAATCGGTTGGTTCGAGGGGAGCATAGTCAGAGTTGGCTCAAAGCAACGATGGCCCAGCAAAGCTTAACTTTGCAGCTGCACATCATCACATCATGACGATCAGCGCAGAAATTTCTTTGTTGCCTGCCTCGGCTCCACTCTGGCAATCCAAGTGACTCACCATCGAAACTGTCAAGAGTAGCTTCGCCGTCACTCCGAGCCCCCCGCCCCAGCTTTCGCATCAGACACCGCACCCACAATCAGCCTTTATTTGTTGATTGCTCATCGCTCACCGCTAACCGCTCATCAATTGTCACTGATGATCATCGAAGATCATACAATGACGAACATCATCACATGCTGCACGTGCGGACGCCTATTGCCCACCCGCCAAGGGATCAAATGGCACACACCATCACTTGGCGCTTTCTCGTTTCCCCGACTGGAGTAACCTACCTTCTTGAGGCTCCGCAACTTTCATGGTACAGCAGGATCGTGTGTAACACCTCGTTCCCAATGGGGGTGCCGCTGCTATCATTAGTATCACCATTGTTCACGGACCCTGCTTGCTCACACCATTTGCATCGTCCATGCCCCTTCCCTACCTTCACCAAGTGCGTCCTTCCCTTTGTTTGCTATTGACTCGAGCCCCTTCTCTGCTCGATCATCGCTTGTTTTTGTCGACCCTGGCGGTCGCGCAACACTGATAGTTGAGGCCACATTCATAATCCGCTCACATCTTTGGCGACAGCCCGACCCACTGTCCCTCGTTCGTTGCGTGAATTTTTACGAGTAGGTGCTTCACCAGTCTACGGTTGTCTATCAAGCTTACCGCTCACTCGTCATTAGCCTCGCTGAAGCATCTTACAACAGTCTGCTGATCAACATGAGCGTGCTGGAATGGACAGATGCAGACAAATGATTGTTGCAGCACGAAGTGCATGCTTCAATCTGCATCTTCTCACCATCGTGATCTCGCGAATGTGAGAGCGTAGAGGGCAGAAAATGAAGATTCTTTCATGCTTCAGGAGATTGCTATGACCCCATCTTGAGGTTTTCGATGGGTATATAAGATCGCTTGGTCGCATCCCCCTTAACCCCCAACTTCCTTGTCTTCTCACAGGCTCTTTCAAGTCTTGCAACTACCGAACCACCAAGCACTTCTTCATCGCCAACGAACCTCACTCCTCCACTGCCTCCATCTTCCTCTAGCCACCATGAAAAGCGTCAAGAGCTTAACCCTTCTGGTCACTACCGCCCTGGTACTCATCAGCGGTGCTACGTCTGCTGTCGCTGCACCTGGTGGCAAACATGGTTTCGATTACGGTGAGCAAGTTAATTGATGACAGTACTAGCTTCATTGAGCCTCTGACAAAGCGCCTCGTTTTGACACTGTTACCTATAAACAACCTACTATGAAAAAGGCCATGGCAAGCAGCACAGGGGGGTGCATTTCGATCATGGAAAGCACGACGGAAAGTACGACCACGGCAAAGGGCATGGTTATGGCCACTGGAAGCGTGAGCCCCTGGCCAACGTCGGTATGATACAAGGGAGCAAGCCCGTCGAGTTCTTCAAGCGCACACCTGCGCCCGCTCCTCAGAATGACTTCAACTCTGGCCGTTACAGGGGTGGCCGCAATGACCGCAACGGACGTGAGCGTGAGCATCGCGGCAGATATGGGCACCGCGGAAGGTACAGGGACGAATGCGACAGGCGCTACAGATACGATTACGAAAGGCGCGGCTGCTATGATCGGTACATGGAGAGGCGCTCGCCTGTCCCCGCTCCTGCTCCTGTGCCTCAGAACAATGCCGCTGAATCGGACTTGAACCAGCAACTCGAAGGCCAGGGCGGCAACCAGGACCAGGAGCGCCAGGACGAGGAACGTCAGCGCCAGGATCGCGAGCGCCAGCGTCAGGATGAGGAACGTCAACGCCAGGATGAGGAACGTCAACGCCAGGACGAGGAACGTCAGCGCCAGGACGAGGAACGTCAGCGCCAAGGTGAGGGTCAGAGAATGGGCACGGCCATGAACAAGCGCGCCCCCACACCTGCTCCTCAGGATGTCGCCGAGTCGGACTCAGA